GGACACGACCGACACACAACCGACCTGTACAGAAATTCCTGATCCAGGTCAATGGCGTAAATGGTTGGTCTTTGTTCGACGCCTTAGGTGGTTGTGGAGTACGAAACTGACATATCTTCACAGTGGGCGAATCGAGGCAGGAGGAGACGGCTATTACTGTTACGGGTCTGAGGCCCAATCACTGCTATAATATACGAGTTATTGCCGTTGGACCGAATAACTTCCAGGCAGGTAGCCAGGTCATAAGACTGCGTACCTATCGATCCGACGGACGGCCAGAACTGGGCAATTCGAGACTACCCGACAGTTTCCAAGATCAAGACCCACGACCAGGACAAACTCCGTGCGTCGAAGACAATGGCAGTCGTAGCCAGGTGCCCACCATCGAAGCGGCGCCGTCTCTCGAAGGCGGATCCGCCGCTGCGCGAGACAACACTTCCGGCCAGAGGCGCAACACTGTCAATCGCAGGCACTCCCCGTCCATAGCAAGTCAGGAGCAACCATCAATCAAGGATTTTTCCAGCGACCACCCTGAGGCGTCGCTCAAGGAACTTGCCGACACCTTGGAACGGTCGAGGAAGGAGTTTGTGGAGACAGCATCCTTACATGCAACCGAAGAAAGCGAGTTTAGACAGCTCGAAGAGCGGTTGAAAAAGGAAAAGGAGGAGAAAAAGAAGATTCAGAAAGAGAAGGACGATAACACCGCGCAGTTGAGGCAAAAGGTCAAGTCTACCGGCGAACAGATGAGACAGGCCACCAAGGAGAAGGCGCGGAAGGAGAACCTGTTGAAGGAGAAGCAAGAAAAGCGCAAGAAGGCGATGGACAACATCGAGAAATGTGTTGCTGAAACCAAATCTATGCGCAAAACTCGCGACGGGTTTGCGTCGGAAAAGGAAAGTCTTGCGCAGAGCCGTGATCTCAAGATCAAGCACCTGGATGAGGAGAACTCTGCTCTGCAAGATGAATATTCCCAACTCGAGACCGAATACAAGGAAAAGAAGGAACAACTCAAGGAGCTTGAGGATGCACGCAGAAAGCTGCCTGGTGGCGAGGAAGACGACACTTGGCGAGAGGATGACCGGAAAATGAAGAGAGATTTCGAGATGAAGCGCCGAGAACTTCAGAGTCAACTCATCATGGAGAACAGGAAGGCTCAACAATTTGAGGGTCACATCCACGTCCTACATGCCCAGGTCTACGCCCAGAACCAACAGAGCATGCAGTTCTACAATCAGGCGAATTCTTCCGGCGTCGAATTTGATCCGAACGCCTCGGCACAAATTAAGCGTCGAAGTCGCACCGGCAATGCTCTTCCCAACACCGTCGCATCGCCCACGGGCCCTTTCTCAGCCTCGGATTCTTCCTTCGACCCTCCGATCGGGTTCACCAGTCGAGCCCCGTTCTCGCACTTCTTGGATATGTCCGGAGGCGAGGCCTTTGCGAGCGACCAATTCTCTGATGCTGATATTAGGGCTCTCACGGGGAACGCACCGCTCAGCCCTACGGCGGCTGCCCTGCTACCTTCTGGCATCTTGGGTGACGACGAACCTAGCAGCCCTGACTCTCTCTCGCGCAGAAGCCCGTTTGTTCCGGGGTACGAAGATGACGCTCAGTCGCCAGGATCGTCCAGACGCTCAAATAGTGTTCCTTCTAGCCCCCCTGGATCTTCGCATGTCACCGCTTTCCCACCCTTTGCACCTGACAACGGTGATCCCTCGTCTCTCAAAGACATCACGTCCTCGCCCGGGGGACAGCCATCGCCAGCTGCAAGTGGACACCGGTTCACGGACCTGATTCATTGGCACAGAACTAAAGGCTCTAAAGCTGCTGATGGTGGTGGCCCCATGCTGGGTAGCCTAAAGCATGGCCAGAGTCAGTCCTTCCCTCGGCAGACCGATGAACTGGATGGAACCAATCGACGCCGAACCAGCTTCTCATCCTACACCCAGAACCGGAACTCTGCTGGACCTGACACTCTTGAGGCGGCGAGTACATCGAACCTGGGACGCAGCATGTTTTCATCGGCTCGCAGGTTGATACCATGGAATTCGTACGGGGAGCGAGATCCAAGCAGCCCTAGACCGGCTTCCATGGCCTCGGCGGACTTGCCACGACCGTCCACCGACAGCGGATCCATTTGGAATCATCCAGCTGATCGAGGAAACCGATTTTGGGAACCAGCTGACGGGCGTTGGGCGTCACGAACTCCATCTAGACGACCCTCCCTCCACGGCTCGCCAGCGGCTCTCAAAACGACACTGGCTTCAGCCGAAGACGAGATCCTGGATCATGAAGCTTTGAATGATCCTCAAGTCTCGCCCAGTCAGGTTGGCGTCATTGGCAGTCGACCACCAGCCAGTAAACAGAACTCAGACAACAAATCCTTGTTGAGCAAGAGCTTAAACCCAGCAGCGCCGACCTTCTCTATTGGGGGACTATTCCGCAGTAAGGATAAGGAAAGTGACTCAGGCAAAGAGAAGGACAAGTCAAAGTCCAAGGACAAAACTAAGGACAAAGCCAAAGACAAGGACGCAAAGGAAAAAGGCAAGACGAGGGATGTTTCTACGCCCAGCCTAGACCTGCCGCAAGGCTACGATGCGTCTCCAACAGAGTCCAGAAAGTCCCGCGATGCCTTCTCCGTCCACACACAGGCATCGGTCACCGAATCTCGGGAGTCTTTGACCCTTGATAGGGCAGTCTCCAATACACTTTCTGACTCCAATATCAAGGACCAGGAGAACGCCTACAGGAAGCTCTTCAGGAAAGGCAGCTCCAGCAAGTTCAGTCTTTCGTCTCGTCTAAGCAAGGACTCGAGTCTCTTTAAGAAAGGGCCTGGGAGCACTACGAACTCGGACAAGAACTTGTCTGCGGATCGATCCAGCTTTGGTGACATTGACGACTTTGGCGAGGAGGGGTTGCTTGGACGAAGCTATGAAAGCGTCACCAGCAGCCCGTCCGCAGGCCCTGCCAAATCCAGAGACGCCAAGGAAAGCAGAATTTCTGGCTGGAGCAGTAAGTTTTCTATGAAGAAGAAAGGCAAGGATAACCGAGAAAGCCTTGAGTTCCACCAGGTTACCCCCGAGGGCGAGGTCGAGGGAGAAGACAAGAAAGACGAGTGAATCCAGCGGATCTGTCGGGGTCAGACAGTCGAAGCGATGTAGTGTTTTGCAAAAATCAGTAAAAATAAAAGATCAGGCGTTCCAAAAGCAACATTGTCTCAGACACAAATAATCGAGTGAAAATGACCAGATACCCATCTAATCTACTATTTCCGGTAACACTTGGATAGAGTAATACGGAGCACTGTGAAACCTCAATGTGCTTACGACAAATGCTGTTCAGGCGGCTGCTATCTTAGTGTCTAGGTATTGCGTTGACGTTTGCTCACTAACATTGGCACCAAGTAAGGTAGGCGGTGAGCCCAACAGTCGGCGGCAGAAAGTCTCAATTGGCAAGCTCCATCCGAAAGCACGGGTCACATTTCGCGAGAGGAACGAACGGGTAGCTGTAGATTTACCCACCCAGATCGAACCACCCGCGCAAACCCGCCGCCCTCTGGGAATCTGCCGACGGAACCATTGAACGAAATTCAAGTGACACTATTTGTCGTCATACATCCAACGAGGACGTACAATCGAGTTCAAAGCCTCGTTATCGTTTTGACGAATCCGTAAAACAATCTCTCTACGAACTGTCATCGGAAGAAACAAACCGGGCCGCCCGACCCTCCGAAAACGCCGGCCTTCCACCTTCGAACTCTTTCTTCCCCGATCCCTCGACCGACCAGACGGCCGATTCGAGCAAGCGGACACTCCTTCACTTCCCATAATCTTTCTTCCGCCAATTGATGGCCGCGATGGCGGCTCAGAACCCGACCGGCGGCGCCCCCGCGGACCTGCCGATGCCCTCGCGCAACCCGCTCCCCCTCTCGGCCTCCCAAGAGGCGCAGATCAGAGACATTTACCACGCGCGCGTGCGAAACGCCTGCGCACCCGAGATCAAGGGTTCGTCCTCCCCCTGAAGTCACCTCATACCGTTGTCCTCTCTTCTTTCTCTGCAGCTCTCTCCGGAGATAATGCCCTCCTTCAAGTCCCCGTTCTCCCGAAGCCTATCACAGCCCGTCCCTTACAAATCCTCCACGTCAAGAAGCTTCCTTGCAAAGAAAGAAAACGCCGGAAAAATATAGATACTAACAAACAAAAAAACCAACAGCCTTTGCAGACTGCGCCCTAAACCGCACCTTCACCGTCTCCTTCGTCTGCCGCACCCAGCTCCGCGCAATGAACGGTTGCATGAAGGCCCACGCCACCCCGGAGGAGCACGACGCCGCGCGCGAGGAATGGTTCGCCAAGCGCATGGAGCGGCAAAAGGAGCGCGAGCGCAAGGCCGTGAAGAAGGCGCAGCAGGAGGACTTTATCCGCGAGTGGTGGGGCCTGCCCGAGAAGGACGCCGAGACGAGGAGGAAGGAGGAGGAGAAGATGAGGCTGGGCGAGCGCGTGGGCGGGTACGCTGCGAGGGATCGGAAGAGTGTTGCGGCGGAGGAGAGGCGGTGATGGCTGGAGGACTGACTGATATGGGGGAGGAGATCGTTCGGGGAGGGGGCGCGGATTTTGCCCGTGTCAAGGAAGAAAAGGGGGAGGGAGATGCATATGTTGGGCGTTCTGGATTTATGGTTTGGGACACCCTGCTCTATGGCGCGGCCATTCGGCTTGTACAAATACACACACAAACACAACATTTCACATCATGTAGACTATATCAATCCAAAAAAGGGGGGCCGAAGCCTAGAGATGGCGGTCATTGTCACGGATACCACAATGGCCTCAAGTTTTCAGCTCTAGCTGGGTGTATCATTCCTCGAGTCTGTTCGCTCATGATCTAAGCTTTTTGATCTATTTGGCAACCCGGCTTGGGTATGCCCGTTTTCTTCTTAAGATCCTCCACCCCTGAAAACGCCGAATTCCATTCTAGAAACAAAAGTACGACCGAATAGGGGTCCACTAGGCCTCTCTCTTCTGAAGCTCGGCGGGGAGCAGGGCGACCTTGTCCTGGAAGAGCTTCTCGGCGCGGGCCCAGACGGAATCGTTGCGCCAGTCCTTGAGGTTCAGGAGGGTAGGCAGCAGGTCGTTGCTGAAGGCCTCGCTCTGTCATTCATGTCAGCTTCACTTCCCGCGAATGCATTTCCAGCGTTGTCAAACTTACAGACTCCCTCGGCAACAAAGACGGAAGGTGGTCGATGGAGATGACGCTCAGGGGAGGGTTCTCCAGTCCCTCGACGGGGACGGTGGGCTTGTCGAAGGTGGTAGCCACGGTGTAGACGGGGACTATGAGTAAATGCATTGTCAGCATTGTCTAATTGATAGAGCCGTCTAAAGGTGACTTACTCGGGTTGTGGGGGTTGGTGGTGTCAGCAGAAACATCGCAAATCACGCTGAGGTTTCTACCGGGGACCTGCAGAGACTCGCGGTTGAGGAAAGCTAGAAAAGTATTGTCAGCTTACGGCCCCGCCAATCGTACGCTGTGTCAACCGTTTCATGATCATGACTCCACGAGTTGATCATGTTACTCATTTTTCAAGAGAGCATGCCAATAGATGCTTGACACCGGATTGAAAGGGTAGTAACATACGGGGAATAGGTTGGCTATGGGAAACATGTGTTAGTACAAGCTCAGAATTGGGGTTATTCCCAAAGAGACGTACCTGAGGTAGATGCAGTTGACGAAAATGTCGGCATCCGTGATCTCCTTGTAAGGGCCGGGGTTCTTGGTCTCCTCCATATCCTGCAGCTCATGTTAGTGCGTGTTGCGATGACCAAACTGGGAATGACTTACCCAGCGGACGATATCCTCAACACCGGCTCTCTTGGCCATCTCAACGGCACCGGAACCGCAACGTCCAAGAGCACCAATCACAATGACTCTGGGCTTGCGACCAGCCTTGGCGATACCCTCGTCCAAGGCCTTCTTGACATCGACGATGAGAGCATCCTCATTGGGGTACGCCTCGACGGCAGGGAAGGGCTCGCCAGGGTGGGTGAGCTGCCAGGCCCAGTTCTCGAGAGCAAGAGCAGCGCCAGAGAAACCAGCGTGGAAACCGAAGGCTGCGACTCTGCGACCGGACTCGTTGGCCAAGAACTCGAGGTCGAGAAGAGTGCCGCCGCCACGGGGGAAACGGCCGAGTGTCTTCTCCCAGCCACCTTGGTTCTATAGCTTGGTCAGCGAGCTCTCTGGTGGTATCCAGCTCAATTGGGGCTTGTATACCTTGTAGACGTGGAGGAATGTGACGTGGACGTGCTTGAGAGGGAACTCCTTCTCCTCAAGCTCCTTGAGACCGACGATGATCACGTCCGATGGGGCTGACTCCCAGGAGTATTCGGGCACAAGGGTTGCGCCAGCGGCTTCGAACTCGGCATCGTCAAAGATGCGAACCTGGGGATCGTCGGGTCAATGATTCGTCCCTCACGAAAGACGGATAGTACATCGGCGAGAACGTACGGGGCTCCTTTCCACTCTGACTTCGTAGCCGGCCTCGACCAGCTTGCGAGTAGTGGTGGGGGTGAGGGCGCTCCTGTGTTCCAAGGGCTGACGTCAAAAGTTAGCTATCTCTGAATACTCAAAGTCAATGTTGGTTTGCAGAATCATTGCACACCTTGGTTTCGGATCGGAGGTGAAGAATAGTGTGGGCCATGTTTGCGACTTGGATTGAACTGTTTGCGACTACAATTGATTGCTGTTGCTGGAGAGGAAACTACGAAAGTTCGAGGCGGGAAGTTGAGGATGATGAAAGTTGAGTGTGGGGCAATGACTCCAAAACATCCCACCTTGTGTGTGACTCTTCTGTCCTGTATCCGTAGGGGACTGATTATTTCACCGCTTATCGGAGCGCGGGGTAGGCCTGGTACCTATGGGATGGCAGTTGCTAGTGAGGTGAACCCAATTTCTTCCCTTCTTTTTTTTGGCCATCCAGGCGAATAGAATCTCTGCCTCCGACAGCTGAGATTTTTAATTTTTTAATTTTTCTTTTTTGCGACATTCTGCCAAGCATGGACTTCCACCACTCACGCAGCAGCGGGTGACGCCATGCAGGTACCGGCCGAAGCTGCACCGTCGTCTCCAACGCTCTCTCGCTTTCGGGCAGGTCACTAATGGGCCAATCAGACGGACTCGCCGATATCGCTTGACCTTGATATTTACATGCTTTCCATGGCACTTGATGACCATGCATAGGTATTGTACATTGAGAAAACATTGATCGAGGTTTCCTGAATCAACGTTGTCTGGATTTGGTATTCAATCTCTACACCGATGCTCTAAGGCAGCATGGTGCATTCGTATCTAAAGCCGCGGCATGAATTTTGAGTCTCCCAATAATTCAAGTACACCCTCAGCTACACCCCAGGACATCTCGAACCCCCTGCCCCCCAGACCATATGCATGGATTATGGTGCGCTTCTCTCCCACCTCTTCTCTTTCTAGCCTCATGCCGCCCTTTCGAGTCGGCCGTCGGCCTACGACATCTTTGAGGACGCGAAACTCACCATCGTCCCCAAGGATCTTAGGATATGTAGCAGCGAAGTGTTTGAGGAGCTTTTCCCGCACTTCTGGCGACGGTTCAGTGTCCCAATTGTCAGGTTCCTTTGTGCCACCCACGATCGTGCCGCCATCGAAATTTCGAGGCACGCAGAATGTCCAAGATCCATCAGCATTCTGTCTTGTCACGGTTGCTGGGCTGAAGTTGGCGACAGCACACGTTTGACCTGAAGAACCTCATCAGCAAAGTCGCCAAAGTAAGTTGGATGTCAGTGGCCGATATACCTCTCGTGATGAATGAGTTTGGGTCACCAAATCCGAAACCAGAGCAGTTGACTACATGTCTCACGTTCGGCAACTCTTTCAGTGAGAACGCCTCACGGGGATCCCTGAGTTCTCTGCGGAAGATTTGGCCGCCATTCCAGGAGAACTTGCGAAGGAGGAAGGAGCAGTAGACCATGGGGTTCACACACCATGTCTTGTACTCGCATCCCCACTTCACCTTGTCATCTGGGTATTCGGTTGGGTTCAGGAGCCGGAAGTCTACCAGTCCCAAGCTCTGGGCCTTTTCCTCGCTGAGAGCTTGGTATTGTGGCGGAGGATCATCGAGGTATTCAATACCAGGCATGAAAGTAATACCGGCTTCAGGATTGCTCTTCACCTGGGACTCCATGTGCCGGAACGTTCTGAGGGCCATCGCATGATCGCGCTGTTCCATCTCGTTGGCCGGTATGACCCAACGGTTGTGAGCGCCGCCCCATTGTGAGGTGTAGTTGATTGAAGCTTTGCTGTCAACGGTCTCAAACGGACTCGGGAAATCCTTGGCCACTATTGCTACTTTATGGCCCTCTTGATGAAGCCTTACAGCAGTGCTCAACCCGATCACACCGGCTCTGTCTTATGTTAGCGGCCACTCAGATCTGAAGAGGAGGAAGGGTGCTTTGGTACCCAATCACCACGATTTGTGCCATCTCGCAAAAGTATAAACCTGCTGAATACTGTGGGGGAAGCGTACGTCAACCGTGTCAAAAAATGGTCGATGACAAAAGTTGTGAGTAGTACCATGAAAACTAAGTCGGCTTCTTACACGGAGCGAAATCAACCTACTCGGATGGCGGGTCCACCAACAATAGAATATAGTGCGCCGACCATCGGAGACAGTATCGGCGACGCCCGGCCCCAGAAGCATCGCCCGAGCCCGGGGACTCCGGTCAAGAAACCGACAGAATCTCTAGTTAGCCAACCGATCACGGCCGGTCTTTTTCCCGATCGCCTTCACCTTCCTCCCACCCATTGGTGCTTCACGGCAACCTTCGAGCTAGGCGCTGAACCACAGTACCCCAAGACACCTCCACCCTTGGAAATGTTGCTTGCTTACGACCGTCTCATCAATCCACAAGACGCAAGACCGAAACCTATAAGTTGTCTCACGGGCAGACCCATGACTTCCTGGACCGAAAAGTTGACCTTTGTAAAAACAGAGATGGGTCGATGATTTTTTTCTTTCGAAGCCATGTGGAACGTGGACACGCACTTTGAGCACTTCCCACACGATCGGCGGATGCAATGTGCCTCAACGGCCCCGGCTGGGACAGGGTAGTCTCCCGCGTTACATTCTCGCTTCGATGCCCGAAGACCTTGCACCGTCGGCATTCTCGCAAATCCCCAGAAACCCCATGCCCAAAGGAAACATCAAGGGCGGTCAGAGTTCAACAAGATCAATAGAGTGACCAGCCAATTTGGGGAGCTTAGCCAATGGCACGAAGTCTCCCGCCGAACCAACCCCGCGCGCCTGTCTCTCACCACCCTGGTCTCGGCGCCTAGAATGCAGTGTGATTGTCTGGCTGATTGGCCCAGCCTGCAACCTTTCACAATCTATTTTCGTCTACCCATTTCGACCACCACCATCCTTTCCCCCCTTCCGGCCGCCCCTCCATCCTCTCTTTGGCTTCACGGTTCACCCACTCACCGCGGCCCGTCTGTCGAGAAGCCCAGCGCTTACACTGGCCTTCCCGTGGGTGACCTGCCGCCCTGTACCACGCGCAATAGTGCCGCTGTTTCAAAGGGGGGAGGAGAGTAAGGTAATTCGTATATACACTCTCTTGGTATCTTTGGTAGTCGTATGTTTACACGGCTTTTCTCTTCCTTTCATCTGTGCTGTCTACCTAGTACTGCAATAATAAACTTGTTTGTTGTTTGCTTGGTGCCCACTGGGTTGGATATCATGCATCGGTAGCAGCTGGACTACCTGTTCTTCATTCCTTTCAGGCCACTCCCCCCTACCCCCATATTTCGTGACCAGACTTGAATATCATTAACACGCCGGGGGAGAAAAAAATCAACGACAACATTCGATTCGAGATAATCCGCCCCAGCATAGCCCAGTATGTCGTCGTCGACACAGCCACCCTCTGGAGGGTACTCACTCTTCCCGAACCCCAACTCCAAGCCCCCAACAATAAGGAGGCCGGCATCTCGAACTCGAAGATCAGAATCGCGTGAGCGGCCCCGGGCTGTGTCTCCTGAGAGCGTTCACCACGTCGATCAAGCGTCTCCACAGCGTCACGGAAGACAGACGCCGCAACAGAGAGTCCAAACACCGGTTGAGCGATCGCAAACTCCACAAAGCATCCGCCAGGCCCCATTAGGTGAACAGCAGCAGCAACAACAGCAGCAGCAATATCAACAGCCCTCGCCGCGTAGTCACGAGCTGCCAGCCCTGCCCCCGCCTTCGGCCACGGAGGCTTCGCCCATCCAAAGGCCCCCTCCCGTCGCCGATATCCCGCCCCGGTCAGACACCGCCTTTTCACAAGCACATACGCTTGTACGGAATAATAGCACGCGGTCCAGAAGCTCGATAGCAAAGCTTCCGTTCCCCGAGGAACCCTCATCGTCTTCACAAGAACAGCCTGCTCTCCGATCTATCTTCCCTCAGTATAACCCGGAAAGGCCTCTCAACCAACAAGACTACTTCCCAACGCAAACAAGCCCAACTCATATCCCGCGGGCTGTGATTAACCGGACAACATGGTATCCCAATCCCCAAGAAGCGGAAGGTCAAAATGATCAGCACAGGAGTCCTCCCATGAGGAGTCCCCTGAGCGGGGGCTCAGCGCAAAGATGGCCAAGGAGACAGATCGAGCCTCCCATCATCCCAAGTGTCTCATCAAATGAGCACATGAAGAGCCTGTGGAAGGTCTCCAACGGATGGAAAGCACCTCCTTCAGAAGGCAGAGTGTACTGCATGAAGCTGTCCCAGGAGAAGGACGCACCCGTGTACACACTCTCCTCGACATCACAGCCCTTTTACAACATCCGCCTCGATCCCACGTCTGCATCAGCATACGTCACTCTCAGCCGTCACGACCCGGCCAAGGTCTACAAGGCCCCGAACCCCATGGCAAGCTCGTCAGCGAGCAGCATCCTCTCCGGCGTCGTCGGCCACAAGGACAGCAGCAACAACGGTAAAGGCGCCGAGAGCAAACACTGGCAGGAAGTCCTCACTACCACACTGGAAGAGGAATCCCGCAAGCACCCGCCCAACGACGGCCTCGTCGCCCTCCTCTACCCGCTGGCGGCCGCCAAGATGGCCCTCGACAAGCCGGGCGACATGAACGCCATCATGACGGCCGAGACGGAGTGCGCCCGCCTCGTCTGGGACGAGGACTCCCGCTCGCACTTCCTCGTCCACCCGGCCCTCGCCACCCCCTTCTGCGTCACCATTGAGCGCTCACCCGCCTGGAGCCGGGTCGAGTACACGCTCGAGCACCACGAGTCGCCGCAGCACCTCGCCAAGCTGACGCGTGACGGCACGGGCGGCGGCTACCTCGAGGTCGACACGGCCATCGCCGCAAAGATTGACAGCTTCTTCATCGTCGACGTCGCCGTCGCGGCGCTCATGCTCGTCGCGGCGGCGGACGAGAAGAACACCAAGGTCGAGACCTTTGAGCCGCCCCCGGCGCCGCACGATCCTGTCGGTGGCAGCGGCCGCGACAGCCGGTTGAGCAAGAGGGAGGAGAAGAAGAGGGCCGCGGTGGCCGCGCGCAGGGGCAAGATGGAGGAGTTTGAGATCGACGTCGAGAGCCAAGACAGCAGCTTTGCGAAGCTGGAGCAGGTCGGCAAGGAGACGCGCGACAGGCTGCCTTGGCCTTTAAGAGC